GGTGGTCATTCTTTACTTATCATGCAGCTTTTTCATCGATACAAGATCGAATTTCATTTAGAACAAAACCAAAGTAGTTGCTCGATATCTAATCTATTTCAACATCCAACAATTATTCATCATGCTCAACGCATTCAACAATCTATTAATACCATTCATCCTCTGGATGATTTTGCTTGGTCTTCATTATATCTCACTCAAGGTAAACAAAACAGTTTGTACTAGATATTATCATCAACTACATATTTATCTTTTTTTCGTCACTTGTAGCTAGAGCATCATTTGCACAAGAACGTATTTTCTTAGATGAACAAATTCGATTTTCATCCAACAAAACAACGATGAATAATATGTATGTTATTCCATTACTCTATCGTATATCATCTATGAATGATCATATATCAACTACTCGATTATATCATGCACTTCAAAGTGTTATCACAAAACATCATATTCTACGAACAGCACTTTATGTTGATTCGAATGGTCATATTGTACAACATTGTGTAGACGCAAACATCATTCTCAACGATGATATGAAATTCAATGGATTGACAATCTTTAATCTTCATAATGATGATAGTCATCATATCAATGCAGTTATTGGAGAAATATTGAATCAAGCTGATTTATTTGATTTATCAAAGGGACATGTCATTAATTATCATATTCTTCGTCATAACCAATCAAATCATTCATTTTCTAATAATGATGATCAATTAACTGAAGATGATCTAATACTATTTACCATTCATCATGCAATGTTTGATGGTGCATCAACATCAATCTTTCTTCATGATCTTTTTCTTGCTTATCAATCTAATGAGTTGTTCTCTATAGATGATAATTCATTACAATATATTGACTATTCTATTCATGAGCACATAATGGATATGACATTATCCCAAGAATTTTGGTTATTGGAACTCAAAGGATGCACTCTTGCACGACAATTATCATTACCTGTTGACCGACAACGTTCACCAACTAATCAGCAACGATCAGGCGTGGCATCCATAGCTGAAATCA